CAAATCAGTTTTTGTTTCATAAAAAATATAGCCTTCTTGCTTCTCGCTGTCAACTCTCGCAAGCTAGCAAGTACCTCACTAGTTGGAATGTACTGTGTAAATAAGCAATCTGCACATTCTCAAACATAATACATCACTTTTTTGGGGGGGTTTGTCTGTAATTCTGGACATCATGTAGTTAGAAACACTGAGTGGCCAGGAAGCAAACTTTGCCCTTGTTTGCACGAAACAGATTTTTCAAAACTTTCATCCTGCCTCTCTTTTTGGCGTCGATGATCAGTCCCATGTGACCTGTAAATCCAAAATGCCTACAAAGGAGGACAAACTCTGCATTACAATGCACTTCGCCGGGTGGGTCTTCAACGTGAGGTGGAAATGCACACGGCTTGCCTGGATTAACACGGCATTGCATCATGCTCGAGGCCACTGACCCCAGAAGGTGATCTTGAGGAAACAGCTCATGAGAAAGAAAAGAAAGAAAGAAAGAAAGAAAGAAAGAAAGAAAGAAAGAAAGAAAGAAAGAAAGAAGAAAGGCAGAGGTCTTCAAATGTGTCAAAAAGATCATTTTGCATCTCTTTAGGGAACCCGCACTTTTTTGGCATGTGAAAGTTAACAAATCCCCTACATTGCCAAAGAATACAGCATTCTGGAAACACCTCGTAATAATTGGAAACTTCAGGACACTAATCTCAGACACAGAGTTCCGATTAGCATTTCACAAGCTGCTCGCTGATGGGGTTTACATCGTCGGTCCAAAAAAACAACAAAAAAAAAAGACAACAAAATAAATAAAACAAAGTATTTTATGTGGAACAAAGCGGCGCTGCGTGTATGAGATGATGTTGTTTTACCAGAAAATTACCTCAATAAAACAGCAGGGGAAATTTCTGTCTGTCTGTCATCTCCGTGGTTGACATGAATGAAGATGTTGGCACGTGTGGTGATTACCTGTTAATAATGCTCAGTGGGCATTGTTAGGCAGTGGGTTTTCCATTGCTCAACACCAATTAGTCGTGATTCAAACTTGGTTGTGTTTTTTTTTTAAACAGTGGGAAACTAGAAAAACAACAACTGCACATTTGCACACAAAAAATGGATGGTTATAGGAGTGATATTCAGCGGCAGTAATGGACAACAGACAATTACAGGCTCCCCCGTATCGCTTCAACCTTCAGAAATGACAGTTTGGGTGTGTTTTTTTTTCCTCCGTCACTTGAGATTGGAAGTGTACAGGGGTCATATAGACTCGTAGTGTTTGCGCATGAAAGGAGGGAGTTTCATAACAGAATGCATTATTTGAGAATGTTTCCTCAGTGAAGGCCGGGCGCATTGTGAATACGAGTTGGTATTTGATATACTCAGAGGGCATGCTTCCTGGGGGGAGAAACATATGACAGTGTTCCGTTCTGAAATGAAAAAAAGTTCCACTGAATGGGAAAAAAAACACACACACACACACACACACACACAGGGAGGACGGGGAATATATCACATTTTCGACGACATGACCTTTTCTTTGATAGTCGCTTTGGCAGTGAGACTCAGCTATCAAACACTGAGTCCTTCAAGGTAGAAATGGAAGCGAGGGTGTTTGGACATCTTGCATTAAAATGATGATTTTTAATTGAATGTGTTGTTCAGCCCTGATACATCCTTTTTTGAATAGCACATAAGATGCTTGTGTTTGAGCCTTTGCCCTGATTACACGCAGTTCCGGGGAAAAAAAGAAATAGATGAAAAAATAAAAAATAAAAAAATGCAGCTATTAGCCATTAACTGAATCTTTCTTGCTGTGCTGCTAGATGTGGCTTTGTGATGAGTTCACATTTCATTTAGGCTTCTCTTCACACGTTTAATTAATAACTGTCTGGATTGTGTGAAGAACTGAGGGTTGGACTGTGTTTGTACAGGGTGAACAATGTGTGTTGCCCCCTTGTAATACACACACTTGTTATTTGTTGCAGCCAATTTAGGGCTTCACATGGTGAACCAGCAATGGAAGAAGCTCTGCTTTAGCTGTTTTGCATTTAGGAGGACCTGGAAATAAATTACACTCCAAGTGTAATTACCTCCTACATATTAGATAATTAGGAGGGCCAACAGCCTTAGCCAATATAGACTTTCACAGTATCTATATTGAACCAAATTATTTCATCATTAACTTTAATATACTGTATGTATTAACTTTAATTGTGCATTGTGTACACACTGTTTTAGCAACAAAACTTTAATAGTGGGTCTCAATCATAGCAATGCCGCCCAATACAACAATACTTATATGAAGTGAGTAGATGTGAGTAAATCGAGGGCGGATGTGCTGTAAGATATCAGGCATAAACATGGAACTACCGTAATTTCCAGACTATAAGCCGCTACTTTTTTCACACGCTTTGAACACTGCAGCTTAAACAATGCTGCGGCTAATTTGTGGATTTCTACGATTTTTGCGAATTTGCTTCGAGACGAAAGTGAGAGCAACAACGAAAGAGAGACTGAGGAAGTGTGTGGCGAAGTAATTCTGAGGCTGTAGATTTAAGAATTTCTTTGTAATAGGACAATGGTATGAAGTTGTTAGCTGTACCTTGACATGCTTGACATCACAGGGACTGAGGAGCATAAATACAGGCGCTGGATCCAGGAGTCCATTGAAATCAGGAAGCGAGGCTCACACACAATCAGTAGAGATGATGGAGCGTTCCTTCTATCCCACACCTGGGACGCTCTGCTCCAGAGACCACCGGTAGGTGTGGCCAAACTGACACACCCACTGGAACTGTCAGATTGGCCACACCGAGGAAAAACAGCTGATAGAGACGCGTTACACAGGTCACATGACACTTCTGGAGAAGGCGACAGATGGAACGCCGAAACATGTCAAGGTACAGCTAACAACTTCATACCATTGTCCTATTACAAAGAAATTCTGAAGTCTACTGGTATTTTGAGGACAAAATGAACGTCTTTGCTATATAATTCTGAGGCTGTTCAATTCCAACACTGGAGAAGACGACTTTAGTGGTTTTACTGCGCAGGAGGACGATGAAGATAGCGATCAGTGACTTTTCCTAGTAGGCTACTGTATTTGTTGTTTTTTAACCAGCCGTGTTACAGGCACTGTTCGGAAAAAAGCATTTATGGTATTTGTGTATGTTACGTATTTAATTAAAAGTTTAAAAAATCTGTGTGACATATTTTTGTGTAAATATCTCCTGTTACAACGTGGACACCTGCGGCCTATATATGTACAATTTCTTTGTCCTTTTTAAAGTTAGTGGGTGTGGCTTATATTCAGGTGCTCAATAGTCCGAAAATTACAGTACATGGCTTAAATGAAAATGTCTTGCTTGTGCTAAACTCAAAAAGTTTGTGCAGCTCAATTTATGTGAGCGTTCCCACAAGGCCAAAGACTGCTCTCTGTTCTATCCATTCATTCACTGGCTACACCTGCTTTGCCTCATAGAGGGTCATATGGGGCTGGGGCATGTCTCTGAGTGAGCTTACACCCTACGAAGGTTCACAGTTCTTTGCAGTGCTAACACACAGGCAAGCTCACACTACAGCCAATTTACAGTCACCAATTAACCCACCATGCATGTCCTCCGACTGTCGGAGGAAGCTTAGGATCCAAAAAAGAGGCTCTATAAACACTTGGCTCTGGGCTGTTGTAATTTTCCATGTTGTGGAATTAACATTTTCTCAGTCCTTTCACATATTTGTATGTATGAATCCCTGCACTGCAACACAGACTCCCAATAAAGCCACTTCAAGCTGTGCACCTGTGTTGTAAAGCACCGCTCGTCCATCAGTCAGTGGCAGCTCCTGGGTGTTGTGCAGCTCGCTCACATTTCTCTGCATGCCAAGAATTGTATACTATAGCGTCTTACCCAGTTTGGGTTGGATTAGGAAGGTTTTTTTGGGATTTGTCTTAATAGTTTATTAATAGTGGTACCATTACAGAGGGGTGCTACTCCCCCTTTTTTTCTCAGTTAGTTTAGGTAAATTAGGATTTGGTGCTTTTGTTTTGTTAAAGCAGCACAGGATAATATGTTTATGACCTCCAGTGAAAATCCTCCTTTAGTCATATTATTTGCTTTTGTTTGGGTACCATCCTCTTCCATCAGTTTTTGTTTAAGTTGCTTGAACAGTGTCCATCTGGCTGTTACTCTTGGTGAGTTGGGTTGTAACAAGAACTAAAAAAACAGACCAAGTTTGCTAATTGGTTGGTAAGCGATCATTCTGGAGAGTCTTTTAGTCATTCTAATAAGTTGAAACATGGCTACTAGCAAGTGTACAACTCCACCAACATACACTGGAATGGGTTTAATGAATGAATAAACATTTACTTGGATTTAGTTTAGATTTTCCCTCATGTTTACTGCCAAACTACTAAGTTATTCTGACAATAGATGGTAATGTGTAATTATACTGGAACAGTGCAGCCAGAAAACCATATTTACATATGAATTACCCAGGAAAAGGTAATTACAATACTTTGAAAAACTTTCATGGTGTAGCAACAACCCTCTTCGCCCTGTCATTTGGTTTGTGTGGCTGCGTCTCTTACAAGCACTGGAGGAGGTGATGTGGCAGAGTCAGGTCATCAGTAACTCTGCCAACACCTGGGTCCTGTGTGCCAGGGCTCCTTTTTCAAACACCCTTTTGGAGCTCGGTTGCCAGCACTCTCCTCCCTTAGACACCCATTTGATGATTTTGGCTGATGGTTTGTGTTTTTTGCTCCACGCAAGATCACACTCTTTTCCACACATGCACTCACCTACATCCTACTGACTGCACCTGTCGATGTTAGTTTAAGGTTTTTTTTTTTTTGAATAAACAGTTGATTAGCCTGGTGGTTTGCATCTCTTGTCATTGCTGTGAAAATCCTGATTTGATGTGTTTGTTTCCTCTGTTGATGCAGGGGTTTTATTCGCAATTGGGGTTTTGGCATCTCCCATCCCGTGATTGGGGAGATGCGTTTCGTGTGGTTTGGTTGCTGTTTCAGTTTGGGGATCCTGCAGTCAGTGCGTGTTGACATGAGTGGGCAGGTGTGAGCGATCACAGCAGCGACTGCACGCTTCCTCCAGTGTGGTAAGTTTTGGCTTTTTGTGGAGTTTCCCTGCAGGTATGGCAACGTGATGGGCTTGGGGGGTTTTTTTTTTTCTATTTTTTGTGGGGCGTGCGGTCAGAGCTGTCGTCTTGGGAGCACATCCAGAGCTGGCAGGTGAGTAGCCGGCTTGCTGGGGGCCGAACAGGGTCATGGTTTTGGTTTTCTGGTTTGGTTTAGTACGACTGCCTCCTCCTGTGTGTTTTCCTTTTCCTTGTGTCTTCTTGTATCATCCCTCCGATTGTCCACGTGTGTTTTCCGTGTTCCTATTAATTTATGTTTTGTTTGACTTACCCTTTGCGTCTCTGGTGCTTTCTCCCTTTGAGTGTTTTCCCTCCTTTTTGATAATTATCTCTGCTCTAATCGGTTTCACCTCGTCATGTGTACTCCCATGTGTATATATATATGGTATTGCTTCCCACTCTTTCAGTTGCCAGTTGAATCGGTTACGAGCCTGTTTGCCCCCATGTGTTCCAGTTTTCCACATTCTCTGGTTTTGTGCCTTTAGAAGCCTTTTGTTTGACTCTGTATTTACCTTCAGTTTGTCTCTTTTCCTTACTCCCTGTGTTTTTTGACTTACATTTTGGACCTCAGTTGCATCATGTATCAGGTTTGTTTATGAAACCTTGTCCTTTTGAGACCTGCCTCTTGTATCTACTTTTGGGTCTGCCACTTTCAAGTGAGCCCTAAAAACCTGGTACACTGAGTTGCGAGTTAAATGGCCCACCACTAATCTGCATGAAGACGAGAGGTCAGTGAGGTCGGGCGGCTTGCAGAGCCTAATAAACCGAAACAACAGCCCCTACATATACCAATCACCTGCAACATTAAAACCGCTGACAGACGAAGTGAGCAACACCGATGATGTCATTATAATGCTCTGCTGGGAAACTTTGGGTTCTGGTATTCATGTGGCTATTACTTATTGATATTGCTGCAGACTCCCTCGTAGCAACAGCACTCCCAAACTAGCAGCATCCACAGCAGAAAAATTCAAAAACTGCTCAGGAACTGTCTGAGGAACAAGAAAAAGAGCATCCAGTATTCCTGGGATGCACCAGAACAAGTCCAGTGCACACAGGCCTCACTCTGTACCCCAAAGAACTTGAAGAATCTACTGCAAAACATCCTCCTAGAGGTGCTGTATCCATGGGCCTGATGAATTAGACCTGCTTTGGGTCCACTTTTTGCTCAAAGGGACCTACACAATGTTTTTGATTTGGTGGTTTTAATGTTGTGGCTCATCGGTATACAGGCTCCATCATACCACAATAATTTGAAGTTCATTTCGGTTTCTCCTCACAGCAAACGCAAACAGAGCCATGGATTTAGTTCCAAATAATCTGAGCGATGACTCAAACGCACACCTCACACCGTGAGAAATGCAGTTTCTTTAACGTGAATCAGGCCGCGGGAATCTGCGAATAAGGGAGGGGGGGGAAAAAAAGCTCAACAAACAAGAGCAGAACCAAAGGGATTATCGCAATCTGACACTGCAGTCCTACAGAATGAAAATACGATTGTGAATATTTCCCTCCAGTTTAATCCTGTGCCAATTCATAAATACCAGAAAAACCTTTTTATTAATCCACTCTATAAACCTGTGTAATCCATTACTAAAGGTCTTTCATACTTAAAGGATGATAGGGCATATCACCCATAATATCCCTCCTTAATTACCACACAAAAATATGTTTGACACCGATGATTCGTCTTGAGCCAAAACAAGTGTTCGTTTGCGGAGATGGTTTTAAATATGTGTCAGCACAACCTTCATGAAAGACTTCTAATTACTGACAAAGAGTGATTTTTTTTTTTTTAACAAATCCTTTCTTTGGCATCAGCTGTAATGAGCAAACTCCAGCCACTATTTTATTTTTAAACTTGGCTTTCTGTCCCTTTCGCACAAAACATATTTTTGGCATGCAACAACAACAACAACCTGCGGTAAGCGATGAATAATGTGATATTCAAAGTAGTCCTAAGATGTGCACGATTAAAGTAGATCATCCTGTCAAGTTTGAATCTTCGAAATGACAACAAAGAAAAGCAGCCTGGCTCTAAACGCCCGCTTCCTCAGTGTAATAGCTACAGTAACTGCAGACAAGACAATGTTTCTTCCATTTTTATGTCTGTCTTTTCACCTTCAGGCTGTCAGCGTAACGATTTTTCTGACCTCCAGATTATTATTCTTGAGTCCAGGCTTGGTAGGAAACTCTGGGAGGGGAGAACTGAGAGAGAAACACTTCCCACCCCTCCTCCTCCCTCTGCAGCCAGCCTTGATGTGCCTTGAGCGAGACAGGATCCCAGAATTACTCCACTTGAGCTGCTCAGAAAACTTTTGCTGTGCTTGGCAGCTCTTAGTTGAGTCAATATGTAGCAGGTTCAGATTTTATTCATCCTTTTAAAGAGTAAGAAATGTTAAAAAAAAAGACAAAACCACAAGCTCACACTCACACATCTACAGACACACAGATGACGCCGACTTAAATGGAATCTTTAATGGACTTGAAGGGTCATCAGTGGCTGGCTGGGCGTGATAGCATCAGTGCTGCAGCTATGACACCACTGGGACGACTGGGGCGGCAGTGGAATCAGACTGGGCTAATCTGCCCGCAGGACTGACGCTATCGGCAGGCTCATCTCTGCTGAGAATGAGATCCCTCTCACGACCTTCACCAGATCCTTATCGCGCTTGGACAAAAAAACCGAGTGTGTGTTTGACCGTGTGGATTGGCGGCCGAGTGTGAGTCGGTGAATGTACAGCTGCGGCGGGTGTCTGAACTCTGGAGACTGTTAGGAAGCCTGTCAAAGGCTTTTGAGCGAGTATGAATGAGTGTGTGGGGCCCATACAGAACAGATCGAATGCGGTATTTGCCCTCTACGCTTTAATTGCCTTATTTCTTCCAACTACCCCGAGAAGCTCGGAGGCCTCGGAGGAATCCGGTGGAGAAAACACATACAAAACTCTCACTTTCTTGGTGTTCCAAAGCTAGCTGGTGTTAGCTTTCTGTGCTCAGGTTTTTTTTTTAAAGGAATAGTTTCTTGGAAGTAAATGTATTTGGGTTCTTACCAAGAGTTTGTTGAGAAGATCAATACTGGCAGAAGTCATCTCAGGGGCACTTCACATAGTTAAGCCTCACCATGTTACACAAAACAGAAACAACAACACAGAATGCAAATGGTATGTATTTCTGACTTAGAGAAAAAGTTAAAACTTTCATTTCTCTTTTTAGAAAATGTAGCCGAATGAGCACCAAAACTTTCTGAGCTGTTGAGCTGGTGATAAATTCTTGACACTTGAGTTAGTCCCTAGTTAGACGTTGCTGACAATGGTCAGATAGTTTCACCGGACCACAGACATTCCTTTGACCAGTGTCTATAAAAGGCCTCCTTAAAATGCAGCTTTATTCAAATGTTAGATGCCACAGATCAAAAGAGAAAGGCGAGAATGGGCTGTTGGCATGTTGGATGCTGACATTTCGGTTAACCAGACATTTAAATGTTCACAGCTTCACCATTTGTTGTTAAAGAAATCGTCTTTAAAAGGCAGTTACAGCAGACAATCTGCCACATGATGCTCTGGATGGATTTGCACAAAAAGGTAATCCTGGAGAAGAGCGTATGAATTTGAACTGGTTAGCTATTAACAGAAAGGCTAGAAATAATGGGAAAGTACTCCACCAGCATTGAGATCTTTAATGTATACAATTCATTCAAAGCCTAAAGTGAAATAAGGACAAGTTGTGGTAATATGGTGGGCCGTATGCTTTCTCTTTGCGTTCATTTCTATGCTAATCTAAGCTAAACTGCTGCCACCGCTAACTTCAAATTCAGCAAACAGACGTTAGATATCTCAGAGATTAACAATTCATACTCCATGGGTGCCACTTTTGGTGGGCTGAACAGTAAGATCATGAGTTGACCCCTTAACTGAACTGCAGAGCGTGGTTGTACTTCAGATGTAATATTTTTTTACATTTGCTGTGTATGAAAGATGGGCGTAGCCATGATGATCTCTGGTTTGTAGACTATTGTTTTGAAGTCTTCAATCTGGTATTTGCCAGAATGATCTTCTGAAAGCAGGCATAATGACTGAGAACTCGAAAAAAAACTTGGCACTCCCACGCTCAGACACATCCTAAAGCGTACCCTGCTTTATCCTATATTTTCCTATAAATTTACAATCTGAACATAATGCTGTATTAAAGGAGACTTGAAACTAATGATCGAAACCATAAACTCATTAGTAAACTATTTACGGCGGTAACAGATCAAGTGAGAAGTTCAGACATTTTCTCATAGACTTCAATACAATCAGACTTTTTGCTGTAATTAGAGGAGTCGCCTCCTGCTGGCTGTTCGGAAGAATGCAGGTTTAAGGAATTTTCCCCTTGACTTTTCTCTTTTTTACTTTTTTAGACCCGGAGACTACGTCCATCTTTTAAATGTTTCTCATTTGATATTTAATCAAATATTACTCAGAATTTTAACCACATAAAAGTAGATCTATTACGATATATTTCTGTGACAAGCATTATTATTATTTATGGCTGTAAATCAGGTGATGGAAAATTGTCTTAACTTTTAGATATGGAGACACAATGACACTAAAACAAAGATATCAACCAAATTTAGTGTTTTATACGACATAATAATAACCTTTTTGATTAAATAATAGCATGCCTCACACTTGGAAACGCAACAACTGACAAAAAGTTAATTTAATCACATATACACATACCAGTGAAGACTTCCAATAACATGATCTGTCTGCTAACAATCAATACAACGCCTCCCGCCCGGCATTGTTTTCATGTGGCTTGCAAAAACAGAGAAATGTGCTTTTGTTACTCACATCAATTACAAGCAATAGATGTAACAATAGTGTCCTGTTTCACTCAAATTTGGCTTGAAGGGCCGGTGGTGACACTGTAATGACTGAATTTAGTGAAGAAACAGCACTCCAGTTTATGGAAATGTGAATGTGGCTTTTCCACAAGTGAGTACAGGAAGCTGTTTTTTTCTTTTTGTTTTGATGGAGGCTGTTGGGGAAAAATAATCAATATGTGTAAAGATACATAGATCGAGAGAGAGTGATAGAGTGAGGGATAGAAAGCAGCTGCAGCTGGAGAAAGAGCAAATTGAAAAGTGCTAATCAGCAGCTCAACTGTTTAATTGTAGAAGCAAATGGAAAATCCAATTTGTCTTTTTTTTTTTGCCATTGTCTCGCAAACCGCAGTCGTCTCTGTTTTGTGCACCTGCAATGGCTGATTAAATTGTGCTTAGAACCTGAAACAAGTCCAAACAACATAAAAAACAAAACCAGCTCTTTTAGGGGAAACACGATTTATGGCACTGACACAAAATTAAATGGTGTTTGCTATATTGTTACAGTTTAATTTTACGAACGATTTGCCGTAATTCCAGTTTGCCTGAGCCAGACCTTGTAATGTTTTCCTTTTTAAAAAGGAATTGAGAAGCTTAACTCTTCCGTAACACTGAAAAAAAAAAAATTGAGAAAAGGCCGGCGAGGAACAGAAAGAACGTAATGAAAATTCTGCCGTGATCCATTCGCAGCAGGATTTGGGAGAAAAATGGGATTTTGTTTCAAGATCGGTAACCCAGTCTGTAGCTTTGGAATTGCAAATCAGAATTCATTTTCAGAAGGTGGGGGGGCGAAGAGACAATGGGGTTCTCTTGTTGCTGTGGGATGATCTGTCCTGCACATCTAACAGAGCTGATAAGACCACATGACTCAGCTGTGTCGCCTTTTATCACAGCGAGCTGCAGCGGAATCCATTATCTTCCTTCTTCGACACCATCTATGACAGAATGAGAAAGCTGAAGTAAGAGGAGGCCGAGAGGACTTACGGGAGGATTGATTTTGATGGAAAGTCTCCAGTTCTGCGTCTCAGCTGCATGTCTCAGGTCTGTTTCCAAATTCAAGGGCAGCTTCCGCACGGCTACAGTTAAAATGTGCATTCATTAAAGCTGCACCGTAGCTTCCTGCACGTCGCTGTAAATGATTCATGAGCAACATTTGGCCAAATGTAACACGTCTGCTGCAATCTGCATATCAAATCACTCTCAGAGTCCCTGTATCTGGCGTAGTGTCTTTGCTATCTGCAAAATCTAGGCTTAGTCTATTAGTCACACCCCCTGGTAGCCAGCTGTGCAAGTATCAGTATGGAAGGAGCAGGAGCTACGTATAATATGGATTTAAGGAGAGATAAGGAGATAAAGAGATAGGATGTGTGTTTGTAGCTAGCAGATTATATTTTTGATGAAACTATTAGTTGTCTGGTCCAAGAAATGTCAGAAAATGGTGAAAAAATGTTGATCCGTGTTTCCTGAAGTCCAAGAGAAATGTCTTGTTCTGTCCACAACCAAAACATATTCAGCTTACTGTAATACAGGAGTAAAGAAAGCAGGAAGTGTTGTAGTTAAAACGCAGGAATTAGAGGCTTTAGATTAACAAAATATAAATAAATACCTTAAAATCAGTTAATTGATTACCACAATAGTTGGTAATTAATTTATTACTTTGCAATTACTCAGAATGATCAGACTCAATAATAATGAATGTAAAAGAAGTTTTGACAAAATGCGAGCTGGAGTTTGTTGCTCCCAGCTGTTTGGAGGATTGTTTCCTCTGAGTTTATTTAGTGCATGTTGCAGCAGGATCCACACAAGGGTCTCAAAAGCGAAATAAATTTTGTGTCATTCACAAATGCAGAACAACAAGGTAGCTTGTAGAAGCCAAGAACGTAACAATGACCGATAGCTTAATAAATTTGCCATTTTAAAAATGTAATAGGCCAATAATGAAAAAAAAGTTTGCAAGGAATTTTTTTTTACCAGGCCAATAACGTAATAACTTATTACGTTATTGGCCAAAAGATATTACGTTATCGGTTCAGGACTTTTATTACGTTATTGGCCAGTTATTATGTTATTGGCCTATTACGTTTTGAAAAGTGCAAATTGATTACGTTATCGACCGTTATTACATGATTGGCTTCTACGTAGCTTCATTATTATTCATAAATATAAACTATATAGAGACAGAAGTGATCAGGATCTAACGATAAACCACATTGTGAACTTCTCTCCACTTGAGATGGTTCAGCTGTTACAGTTTATCAGCTGCAGTCTGATCATTTCTTAAAGCGACCGTCCTTGAGTCGAGCTCTGAGCCCCATCGTACTTTTATTTTACTGTTAGTAACAGTCTGATCTTTTCATGAAGGTTTTATTTTTTTGTAGATTTTTCTATCCCACAGCAGGATATCTGCAGCAGTGACATTTTGGTGCTTCCCGTTAATACACATGACGTCAAGTCGATGAAGCACCTGGATTGTTTCTGTTTCTTTAAACCAGTTGTTGTGGGCGGAGCTAAACAGAGGCTGTGGCTTCAGGTGAGATTGTTTCAGAGGAACATTTGCACACAGGGAGACGAGCGCTGTCTAAAACCAATAGTCCACCAAACAAACTAGCAGAGCTGCCTTACTGCACGAGCTACAACTTCAGCAAAAGTTGAAGTTTTCAGTGTGGTACGTTGATGTCTGGAGGTTGTCGCGAAGAAAAAGGAAGAAGTGGACAAAGCCGACTACACTGAGTGGCCAGTAGCACCTGCATCCTTTATCAGACCACCTGAAAGCAGACTTTACTTGCTTTCTTTATTTGTATAAAAGGAAAATTATTGCTACCTCCTTACGTGTTTCTATTTATGTGAGTAAAATTATCTACTGTTATGTGGTTTAACATTAAAATGAACACTCATGCTCTGATAAATGGCGAAAGTAGGGTGGTTAAGCTCAACACAAGCTTTTCTTTTTCTTTTTTCAGCTGATCTTTATTAAAATAGGTCATTAAAAATCCTCAGTAATTATCAATATTAACTGAAATTCAACATATAACCTCGTGTTTCTCTGTCCATGCAGTCACCCAACTGGTGGTTGAACTACCAAGAGTCAGCCTGCCAAAACGCTAAACCAACACTGTACTTGATAGCAACAGCATGTCAGCATTATCACTGAGAACAGGTTAACGTTCTGATGTGAACATTAAACTCGAAGCAGACTCTGAACTCTAAAATGTTGCTGATATCTTGTACAAAATCCCTTCATTCCACTTCACAGAAAAAAAGTCAAGGTTCTCAACTGTTAAATGTTAAGTTATTACGAGCAGCTGCGCAAGAAAACGTCTAAATAAAATAGCGAACCTTCGTCCTTGTGTGCAAGTTCTGACTTTAGGCTGTTTTGGTGCTTCATATTTAAGCGAATGCAGCAGGAGGAAAATGTTCTCACAACTGAGAGTGTTTCAGATGGGCCATCAGGGAGAGAGAGCTGGTTTCATTTTCACTCAACCTGCATGTTGAATTGCAAATAGTTTGCTTTAGAAATATAGTTCATGTGCTTGTTTTCCCTGTATCTAGTGCCGTATGAGCCTTAAAAAAATATTCATTTCGAATCCTGCAGTTATAACAAGATGCACTTAATCTGCACCTGCTGTCAAACCAGCTCCCCTGCTTTTTTAGCATACTGGGAGGAACAAAATATGAACTATCCACTCTGTCCTTGTGATGAATGGAGGGATCCTGCAGCAGCAGCAGTGACTACAGATGTCCATAAGATATACTGTAAATGGGGCGTGATATTTATTCTGAGCAGCCTGAAGCCGCTTTCATCACACTCCATCCTGTTATTAAAGCAATTCTGCTGCAGCTTGTTCCAGGGAATTATGATCTATTATTTACATACATTTTTATTATTGGTTTTAGTCGGTGCCTGTACAGGAAGTGAAACTTCCCCTATGTGGAATTTGCCAAAAACTGTAATATTTTGCTGCTCCGGTTGACTTCACAGACCTTCAGATGTGGGCTCTTTTCTGGCAGCCATGTCTGCACGGTGAGGTTGCATCAAACTGTCTGATGCTGGTGTGTCGGGGCCTTTTTTTTTTTTTTTTCTAAGAAGCAGCAGCTGTGTGTTGCAACTATTGCTTGGAAAAATCTCAGTAAAAACTTCCGCATTTAATTCAGAACACTGACTATCTCAGGGACCCAATTCTCACTGATTATGATAATCGGGTTGCTCTTAGACATGCTGGCTACGAAAATAAAAAGAAATCTGCCATTCCTATCTGAGCTGATAGTATTTGACTATACATAATAAATTCGGGAGACATATGCACATAACCGTGCAGTCAAATATATACACACAGACACAAACACAGCTATCACCCCTAAAGCAAGAGGTGTGTGCCGTTATCGCTTTCAGGAGGATAAACAATGTTAGTGAGAATACTAATCTTGGTGTACCAGCTCAGAGCGTCTCCTCCATTGCCGGGGTATAAATAGCATAATTAGCCACGGGAGGAAACACAAATGCCACTTATCTCACTAACCGCTGCACAGCGTTTCACATTCCTCATGCACATTTCTCCCTCCGATCCATCCTCCGCCGCCGCCGCCGTCTCTCCGACACACTCGGTATCTGAGACTGAAGAGAAATGCTGGGATGTGAGGTCGGGCACGCAGGGGAGGGGAGAAATGACAATTTACACCGAGTTAATATTCTGTTTCATCTGCCGGTTCTGGAGGCTTCAGGCCTGAAGGGAGAGGCAGGAGCGAGGAGGAGTGAAGGTGAGGTCTCCTGTCGGTGTGTTTTACCAGCCAGGACAAGCGCTACATATATATCACTGACTCTCTTCCTCAAACACGAAGCAGCAGAAGGTGGCGGAGAAAAGTCCAGCGAGGCCGGTCTCAGAGGTCAGTGAGACAGATGTTGTCCACTGATGCAGAGCAGAGCGTTCGGCACCGAAGACAGCGGAGTGAGCCGTGACATTTTGGTCAAACATAAAGAACAAAAGAGACGAACTGGGAACATTTTTAAAACCGGGTACCATAAGGACGCGTGTCGGTGAAAGTTATAATTGTTATTTTTATGAAGTCGGAGCCTATTTTTCGACAGCCTGCAGGGCTTAACAATTAATCGACTTCAAGTGAAAAATGCTATTAAATAATGAAAGTAATTCAATTTTCTTTCATTTGACCAGATTGAAGGGGTTGTTTATGGTTGCAGATGGATCAATGTGTACCATGTGGTTCAGCTGACACAGGCCCAATGTCCTTATTTAATACCCATATCTTATACATACTGCAGTTCATTCAATCCATCCTCCTTTTGTGAGAGTCACATGTTTGATGGTGTCACATGTGGTGATGCTCCACGTTTTAAATCTATTACACAGTAAATGATGAACGGAAGCTTGAAAAATATGTCTGAAAAATCGAACATCTTCCAACATTATTCATCCCTGATTCTGTGTCGTTAAACAGTCACTATTGGTATCGACGGCTTCCTTCAAGTTACTTTTTTTGAATGCAGAAAACGATGCTACATGTGATGCAATGTTCATGTTCCCTTTCCTGAAGCCACAACATCAGAGCTGCATTAAGTCACTGTTAAAGTTAAACCAACACTTTTTTACAGCTGCAGCTTCACAATAAAACCATTTAACTGGCTTGTTTTGTGAATCACTCAAAGTAAACATGTATTTGTCATTTAATGTCGCTATTAATAAATCTAAATTTTACCTTTTCAATATGTCCACATGGTGTTTTTTATACGCTAAAAGACATATCAGGAGAAAAATAAAGAGTCAAGGCCATGATTGATAGTTTCCACCTTGAAGCTGCAGTGTATTAAAGACAGTCTACAAAACACAGATTCAGACTTCCGGGGTTTCGTATGTCACAAGTCAAAGGAACCAATCCTGTTGCTGTGCAGGGTGGGACTTCCTGTACCATGATTCATCTTTAGAATCAGTTTCCAGTTGAAACATATGGTTGAACTACTTCAATATTGCCATTGTTTGGTAGTTTTGGTGTTTGAGCTGAGTCGTAGGTGAGCTGGTGAGCTTGAGCTGCAGCGAGTGGCGGAGGGTTGGGTGGAGAAAGAGGGGAGAACTTTAGAGATCTGCACATTGTAAGCAAGTTTGTAGAGTTGTAGAGTGTAGCTAAACCACTTAAGGGATTATTTTCATGTAAAAAAACGTGTAAATGTCTAACTTTATCACGCAAAAGTGAGTTTTTAGAAACGTAATCAGCAGATGTTGTTCTGTTGTCATTCTTAAAGTCTGGAGAGGGAGTTTGACAGAGTTTGCTTTCCTGTGTTTTCTGAACAAGTATCTGCTCTAGGAGTGTTAACGAACTTTAAATACTCATATTATCGCGAGCTACACACACACACACACACATACACAATTTTCACAAAATGATGCTTGTTCTGACATCCTGACTCCTGGAATTAAAGTGGAGAACAGGATGTTTCTGTACTGAACTCGTGATTCATCTTGAGACTTGTGATGAGGACTGTGCCATCTCGGTCCTCTCGGCGCAGGGATGAGTGGGATGACTTAGTGCTCGCTAACAGTCACTCAGGATTATGACTCAGAAAGCAGGACTATTCACTCTCTCACCTTTCTGCAGAGGACTGTGAGTGGCTCTAACAGTGGCCCACTTTGGTGGGATCAGTTGGGGCAAAAATTAAAGTGTCAGTGTCACATGTGTGCCGATATGGAGAAGGGAAAAAGCCTATATGCGATACAGAACAATGTCATAAGCAGCTACAAGGACCGTCGAAAGTAAACTTAAAAAGAAAGTGAAACTGGTCAGGAAGGTCAGAGATGTAGAACGGGTGGGTTTGTGGAAAATGTGGTGTTTAGATGTCGATGGGGAAAGTTTGAAAGGAGCCGAGGGAAACATCATCGTGACGGGAGCCCGAGGGAAAGGCCCCCGAGTATCGGTTACATCTGCGACCACAAGAGAAGAAGAAACAAGACACAACCAAACAGGTCACAACAGTGATTATTTAATGTAACTCCAGCTGGGTGTTAAACCTCAGCAGCTTCACTTTTTTTTTGGCACCGAATGAATGTTTCCATCACAGAAAGTATCCAAAACTATCAAGTAGCCAAAACAGACTTTGAATCTAGACTGAATGGAATTTCAGAGTGTTTTTTTTGGGCACTCTTGATGTGTTTTTAGCTTCTTTTGTTGAATGAAACAAAGCTGCAGCCAATTAATGAATTAAAAATGCTCGAATTCCAGCCTCCTAAATTTTAACTTTATCTCGTTTCTTTACATCTCTCTGACAGAGAATTGATGATGTTGGGATTGAGAACAAAGCAACATCTTTAAAGGCGTCATCTTGACTTTTTTTGACAGTTTTATGAAATTTTATAGACCAAAAAACTAATCCATTAATTGAGAAACTTACTTGGCAGATTTATAACCAGTGATAAGAATTGTTTCTTGCAACTCTATTTGGTCAGGATGATCAAAAGGCAGCCAAAAGGCACATTTGCAAAGAATTAGAGGCTGCTGGAACACAGGAGTCAGTGTCCACAGTCCAGCGTGGTCGACATCGCCATGAGCTGATGGATGAAGAATGCTTTCAGAGCTGTTTGTAAATGTTTTTGTGTGTTTGCGTGACTGAAAGTAGACTCAAACAGAGGTTGAATTTCAGAAAACTTGGTGGAGAGGTGAAGCACGGCCAATTAAAGTTGGTTACAGATCTGGATCGCTTTCTTTAAAGTTGTGAGCTTTAACCTCGGCAGATGACTCCACTCTTTAAGTGCTCTTCGATATAGTTAAAAGTAGCACAATTGTATTTCACTCTATGATGGTTAAACTTTGCATTTAATTGGTTCCCATGCGTGCCGGTCCGTGGGTGGGGATCCAGACAGATCAGGGATCGACTACGGTCCGTTACACCACCAGTCGGACATGTTTAAACAATATGAAGTCATGGTTGGAGCTTGAGAAACACAGGTTGAGCCTTGCTTTACGGTGCTCTGTCCCTTCGGTATCTCCTGAATTCCTGCTATATGAGCAGCACGACAGCAGCTGAATGATTAAATGGACCCAACAGGCAGAAAACACGGTTGCAAAATTTCGCCGCACAGATGTACAAATACGAATAATTAAGGATACGGTTCCGTCTGCGGCTAATGCAGCTAATTTCTGCGCGCACACACCGAAACACACACACACACACACTGATGTCTGGCCAATGGTGTCCTTCATGGATAGTTCCTGACAATCCATATTTCATTTCCTGCGGGGTTATGGGAAGCATCTCCCCAGAGGTTTCCACTTGTCAACCTGTCACATCTCAAAGGCCTCACAAGGAGAATGAATTTGTTGATGTTTGCCAAAACCCACACATCCTCCTCTTCTTCAGTTTCTATTTCAGTGATTTTTTTTTTCATGACCTCTATCTCAGGACTTAAGTCGAGGCAGCTGGGAAAAAAAAAAAAAAAACAAAGAGGAAAAGGCACAGCGGTGCTATTACCGGATATGTTGCCTAACAGAGTGAAGAGCAGCATCTGACACTTTGCACCCATTTTGCATCATTCCAGCCTTTTTGTGCCGCCTCTATCGGCCTGGGACTCCATCAAATACCCTGAGAATTAAACGTTATGCCTCTCTACACCGGAAACCCTAATCCGAAACTGCAAATTTAAGTTTATGAGTTCATTTTGTGCTGCAAATAGTTCTACTTTTCTTTTTAATCTCTTCCCCCCCCCTCTTTTTTTTTCCTTTTAATCTTTTTTGGTATTATTAACTGGCACAGACTTGCACGGTAAGTAACTTTTTTAATTTTTCAGTTTGGATTTTTCTCTCTCTCTCTTTTTTTTTTTCTTTATTACATCAAAGACGCACTTAATTTATTGGCTGGGGGTGAGAAGCTGGAGATAAACGCAAATTTTATATTTATTTAGAGATTAACTGTTTGTTTGCGCCGGTTAAGACTCGGAAATGTCCTTTTATGTTAAACTCGGTTACATAAAAAGCTCAATTTCCACTGTTGAGCAGATATTTCTGGGTAAAATCAGCACATGCAAACCGCCAAATGTGAATTGTCTTTACCTCCTTGCCTTAACTCCCCATATCTCCTTCTGCCAAATTGCTGCTGTCTTTTGTTAATACTCCCTTTTCCCTTTTTTTTTTTTGCACTACTTAACTGGCAGTAATTTCACTTGGCTCACTAAGACTGTCATTGAAGTGACTGCTAGTCCTCTTGGCATCCACAACCTCAGGATATCACCAGCAAATGACCTATCATTAA